TCTGTTAAATCAATTTAATATATTAAAGGAAATTTAATAATTTTTACGGAAGTAAAGTAATTGAGCAAACTTTATTGACTATCAAAGCAATTTCTTAAAATTGATTATAATTCTTAATCCATTTAATGACGAAAATTGCCACAAACTTTTACAATTTGGTAATTTTAAACTTTTTGAGTTAATTAATACATTCATCTACTAATATTTATTATATAATAATTATTTAAAATTAAAAAAAAATATTAGTAATCATTTAATAAATAATGAGAATAATAATTTGATTGATGAATTTAAAAATAACTTTAATTAAACTTTAAATTATTATTTTTTTGACAAATATAACCATTACTTACTATTTTTAACAATCAAAAGATCAACGGCTAATGTTTCAATTTTTTATACAAGTTTGAGGGGAATTGTCACTTGTTTTGTGCCGAGGAAAAGAAAAATTCAAGGCTGGAGGCATCTTGAACGTTCCATGGATATTTATTTATTTGACAGTAAAAGTATTTTTGCACTAATTTGTCCGTTAACCAAATTTAAGTTTTTCATCTAATGGTTTTAAGAATACAGCATTCCTACCCATCTGGTGCATTCAAATTTTTTTGATAAATCTCACAAAATACAAACCTTAAGATCTGATACCAAAAAATTTAAGAAAACAAATAATTTTTTTAACTACAAGAACACCTGTTTAAAGTTCCAATAAGAAACTAATTTGCCTATGGATTTTCTATATTGTCAAAACAAGTGCGAACAAGAAATTAATTCCAAAATCAGATAGGACACGAAACTGGTGAGACGTTGAAACACAAACAAAATAAATAAATAAACAATGAAGAAAAAGAGATGTAAAAAACCAATATCTCTTTTTCTTTTTTGTTTTTTTTCCCCTTTTCTTTCTCATTTTTTGGTTTGGTTTGACTTTATTTACTTATTTATAGAGGTACAATCTAATAAATACTTAATTCCATAAAAATTATCTGATGATTATGAAGATTCCTTCTTTTTTTAATTTCTTAATTTTGAACACTGAGCAAAATGATTTGGGAGATTTTACAACGGCTTTTTTGTTGTACTTCGAAGATTCCATACAATTTCCAGCTCTAAGTAGCAAAAGAAGTTCACTGTTTACATCGAATACGATGCATAAATATCTTATAAGCACGAGCTTGAAAGCTAAAAGTTGGCCATGTCATCTCCGAACCCAAAAAAATCTCCAACTGATCCTCAAAGATAATGTGAGTATAGCTGTCATGCTGGCGAATCCATGCGTATGCTCGTTTGGTACAAAAAGTTGATGCACTGATGCACATCGCCTGGCTAGTTAATCATATCAGCATTCTTGGAGTAAATTATAAATCAGTCCCTATTCTTTAGAGAAACAAATTAATTAGACCATATGGTCTTACAAACTAATTATTTAGTCTTTTTATTCACCGTTAATCATGACTAATTTAACATTTTTTATTTTATAAAATATGTTATTTCCAATCATTATATTTTTAATTTTTTTTCTTTTTTTATTTCTTAAAAATTAAAATAAATTAAAAATAGAAAAAAAAGTTAAATAATTAGTTTTTAAAATCAGAAAGACTCATTAATTTGTTTATCAAAACGAGAAGGATCAATTTATAATTTACTCGCATTCTTGTCATCACTGGCTCCCATTTTTTTGCAAGTGAATATGATTCATATGTTCAAATAAATATTAGATAAATTCCAAACACATGTTTAGACGGCAAACATACTTTCACGGTTGGTAAACAATAGGGGCAACTATTGTTGCAGTGAATAGTTGATAATTGGCTAAATAATTCAAAAGCATCTTCAATTTTCGATCGAATTGAAATAGGTCTTTAATTTTGGAAAATATTAATTTGATTACCATGAATTATTATTCTTTTTTATAAATAATAGGCCTATTTGGCTAGTTTTTCAATGTTAATTGCATATAGAAATCATGTAATAATTTTTTAAAATAACACATATTTCATTAACTGACATCACTATACACATGTTATGTTTTAAATTTAGGTTAAGATATGTGTCACTTTATAGCATTATCATGTAACCATTACATGATTAACGTTAAAAACTGAATAAACATATTATTTATCAAAAAATAGTTTATAATAATCAATTTTTTTTAATTAGAAGTGGATCTCAGTTTGATTGATAGTTCATGATACTTTAAGATTATTTAGCCTTAATAATTAATAACAAACTTTAGTCCCCGTACTCTTTTAAAAACATTAAAGCTGTTATTGTTGTGAATCACAGTTAACATTATTATTATTATTGGATTCTACAGTAAGAATATTTTCAAGATAATTTACACGTGAATGGAAATTAAATATTTCTTTAAATGATGTTTAAAAAGCAGTTAACAACATTATAACAACTAATAACGATAACAAATCGTCTGATTTCGTTAAAGAGATCATGCTATCTAATTCTCCATGTAATTATTTTCTGTGACGCCTTTCTGGTCATCAGGTCAAAGCAAACCCCAAAATGGTCAACACGGGACGGATTTTGTGCCAGATTCTCTGTTCTTCCATCGACAGTCAATGCTGCTAAGAACACATTTGGCTCTGTAGCTCACCAATCACTCCTAGATATTGGCTGCTTTACCCAAAAAAAAAAAAAAAAAAAAAAAAAGTATACATAGGTCTCAAAAAATTAGACCTTCAATTACTCTTCCAAAGAAAATATTACCAAGCAAAATACCTCTTAGTAGCGTATTGGTTGCTATCATGTTTTGTCAACATAACATGGCTGAGATTGATGAGACATGGATCGTGCAATATACGGTGGAGTTAGTCTTTTTTGATAATGATGATGACTTGAAATTTGCAAATTGAAGACAAGATAAACGTAGATATTTTGTTTTATTGATATTTATAAACAACGAGATATTTTTGAGTTAATTTTTATATCAATTAAGACAGATTCTATTATTTTTTAAATTAAACTAATAGACGTGGACAATTAAGTTGTAAATTAAATATTTTCGGAACTCCAATATGATTAATAAATTAGTTTTTTCCCTACAGTAATTAATTGCGTTTACTACACTCTAATCACTGGTGTGGACAGTCAAAAGAATATTTAATAGTTAGTGGATTATTTTTAAGTTTCAATAGTTATGAATTAAATGGTTGTTTATTCATCATGGTGTAGGTTTATTATATGCTAAAATTTTGTATCTTAAAGTAAAGTTTTTATAGCACTAAAAAATTAAAAATGTTATCACCATACAGAACTCCCCTCGACACTCTTTGCCCGAGTAAAATCAAATCCGATCGCACTCTGTACTTATTGATTCGATTTTAAGTCAATGTATATATTAATTTCATTCTACAAAAGGTCATAATCTTATCTGAATTAACGGGAGGAAATTACAATTAGCCCCTATATTTGAAAAAAAACAAATCAATTAATTTTTTAATCAGTATTGATCACATTTAATTTAACATCATTTTTTATTTTAAAAATATTATTTTCTTGTTATTCATTCTTCCACATTTTGTTTCCTCCTTTTCTTTTTCTTAAAAAGGATTCAAATAAATTGAAAAAAAAAAAAAAAAAGCAAAGAGGGCTTGTTATAAGAAAATTTTAAAATATAAATTAAATAATTAATTTTTAAAACAATAAGAACTAATTTATTCGAATCACGAGTTTCTCCAAAATAAGACTCAGATATAAAAAAAAGCCAATCCCAAGGACCAACTATATAGACTAGCAGAACCACTCCTCGCCCACAGCTATAAAAAAGGGAAGGACCTTTTCCTCTAGAGGTAGAAAAATCACGATCGGAATAGCAGATCCAAAGCTATGGAACTTGGGTGTGTGTCTTTTATCGAAATAGAATGGCCCTATTCTTCTTCTTTTTTTTTTTTTTTATTGAATAGCGTAATATTTGATCCGGAGGTTAGGCAAAATAAGAAATTACAACTTAATTTGTATTAATATTTGGTGTTAATATGAAGTAAAACTAAAATTAACTGTCTTATTTCATGGTCATATTTTTTATCCCTCCTCTTTGATGAGATAGTTTCACTAACTAAATTTCGTACTTTTCAATATTGTTTAATGACTTTTGAAAAAAATAAGTTAATGAAAAATGTTTTTTAGTTTTCTAAAAATTATTTTTTATAGAATTCACCTTTCCACAAACAAACAGAACAAGTTACCGGTTGCAATTTTCATCATGCAATTATCTTGCGTGGGTGTACTCGACATCGTCATCTGAGCTTTTTCGTACCCGTTAAATCGGGTTAGGCCCATTTGATATTTTTTAGAAAAGCTAATTTGATGTTCGTATTCCCTTATTTCACAGCCACAGATAGAGATAAGCATTGGGCTAAGAGACAATAAAAGCCCAATGTGTTGTAGGCCCATTGTATTTTGCGATATACATAATCACACTCTAGTGCTGGACCAAAGGGCAACTGGCATATATTGGACTAGATTTTTTTAAAAGCCTATATCAAATCTAGCTTCGAGCCCAGTTACTAAGAAGTAACAAACGGTTTGCTATATATGGTCCAAAACTCAAAACTAAACTCAACTTTACCTTTTTGCCGTTTTCTCTTTTCATTGCTCCAAACTCAGGTTTGTTGTTGGAATCTTATTTCTTTGTTAAAATAAGTATGATTTCATTTTTTTATAATGAAAATTGATCAATATATTATGGAAAGAGAAAAAAAAAAAAAAGGGTTAAAAAATGAGTTCAAAATACAAAGAAAATAAACAATTTAAGTGACATCTTGTTAAAAATAGAATTAAGCTAAACTGAAATATTTGTAGAAACTAAACTATCTAATATAGGAGTTTAATTGAAGAATTCTTTACGAATTTATATGATCTGAAAATTTTGATACAGACCAGTTAGACCCTCTCTTTCATTAAACCAGCAATAACAGTAATCAGATTCAATTCTCCTAAGTCAACCACCTCTTTATCCCCCCGCAAAATTCCTATCCTTCCAAGAATCATCTCTTTCCTTGAACCAGAAATCTCTCCTTCAATTCTCTTAAATCAACCACCCCTTTATCCTCCTCATAGTTCCTAGCCTTCCAAAAATTAATATTATTCTTATCAAACGTTAGAAAATCTGAGACATATATTCTAGCATCACCCTCCTCAAATGTAGCAAGCAAGAAATCAAGAACAGAATACCTGAAGCACCTTACTCTTGTTCCTAAACTAGATTCAGAGTTCATATTTTCCCACAACCTATATTGTAAAAGACTCTGTCATAAACAAACCTTTGAGAGATTAGACTACCCACAGTTGTCTGTGCTGCATCTATCCTAAAAATTTATCAGTTCATATTTTTTAAACCCAATTCAACCCTCTACTAGGTTGCCCTTTGGGACAACAGGTTCCATTTCGATCAAGCAAAGATCAGTTGGCAGATGTTTTCACAAAACCGTTAGCTAGCACTCGGTTTCTCTTGCTCAAAGACAAGTTTCGCATTGTTCTCCCATGCATGTTAATCTCCTGTTCTAAGAGCTAGAGGTTTTATCGGATAAAGATAAAATATTTTGTATTCGATTACGACAGAGCTAGCCAGCTTATCTAGAGTTCCATTGTAACATGTCTATATACATATACACGCAAACTGATCAATAGAAAGCCACTGAGTGTTTTGCTCTCCAGCTTCTTCTATTCCAACTATGGCCAAAAGTAGAAAGGAGAGTTTTCTTGTTGCAATAAAACGATAAGATATTTATTCATATGGGTGATCAGGACAAGCTTAAGTTTTGGCAAAAATGATGAACCAACAAAGGCAGTAAAATACGAGGCACCCTCACGCTGTGAGCTAGAATTATTAAAACAGTTGTCAGTAAAGGACTTTAATGCATGTCACAAGGTAGCTAGTAGCCAAAACTTAGCATTGATACTAGCATGCTTACTAAAGGAACAGATATGTTGTCATCTACTACCTCTGCAGTTGGCAGGGACTCCACAACAGTTGCCACTAAAGCCACTACGGCAACTCTACGAATTGTCCATATCCAATCCAACCGGAAATATCCAAGAGCTGAATAGTAGTACAGCATCCTAGTTGTCAAGACAAGAAAGAAAAACGTGAGCTAATAAGTAATCAATGGTGCATAGCTAGCTGTACGGAGGATAGTACAATATGACTGGCTAGAGTTATGGAGATCTGAAACGTACCCAATAGAAATCAAGAATCCACAGATGAACATCGATATGCTACCAGCCCAGCTCTTGTTTTGATTATAAGGAAGTTTCATTGACCCAAATCTTCTACCAATGATATCAGCCACACCTAAAGACCGCTAAAGTGAAATCAATCAATATTTTTCAGCGGCAAGAGACAAGCATTAGAGTTTGGAGTTTGAACGAGGAAAATTTATGAGGTTTTAGCATTACCATCCCCACCACACATCATAGCCAAGGAGATAACCCCAGTTGGAGACTCGCGCCAAAACACAAGAGCACACAAGATCAATATCAAAACATAATACAAAGGTCCTCTTAGCAACTCCCTGCAAGGAAGAAGGGAAAAAAAAAAAAAACATTAAGATCAGCTTTATTACTGGTTCAAAAGAGGAAAAAAATTAAAGGACATAAAATTTAGAACAATGAGAGTGAAAAAAATTACTTTGGATTTCCTTCTCGCGTAACAGATTTAATGAGCCCTTCATCAGCAGCGAAGAAGCCATTTATAACAAGCCTTAAGCAATTCACAAAAGGTACCACAGAAGCAAAGTAGCGAGCCCGTGTTGAGTTGCTATTCTAGGATCAAACATCATGAAAAGCTAAGGTATAACATAAGGCAAGAAAAACTCATCAAAATTCAAATCACAAGATAAACCCAATATTCAATTTTTTGATGTTAATTCTTAGAGAAATCCCACTAAGGATTGATACCTGAAAATTGGCCAACAAGCAGCAAAAAGCAAGCCTGAAAGTACATGAACTAATTTTCTGCTCAAACTCTGTTGAATGAGGTTTCGCTGAGTGAGTGAATCAAAAGTGAGAACGAGACTGTAAGCACCGGCTAGTACGGCAGCCGTGGCACCTGCGTCTTGAAGTAGAGGTGCGGTGGCGGAAGTAAGGGAGGAGCGAGGAATGCAAGGAGGAAAGGAAACGAGACGTCGGCGGAGACGAATGCGGATAGGAGGAAGTACTAAAGGATCGGGAGAGAGCCAGTGAGGAGGACGAGAGAGTTGGGTGGTGGTGGTGGGGGTGGAGGATTTGTATACGTGGCGGTGTAAGAAAGAGTGAGATAGGGCGAGAGTGAAAGATAAGAAGGCCATGGCCGTTGAAGAAAAAGACTTCGGCTGTCTTACGATTATTTGGACAGGCTGAGTTATCTTTCTCACTTTGGTTGGATGCCACTGATGGTCCCACTTCGTGCCCTCCACAGGGTCATTGTGTACTTGAAAGGACGGGGCATCCACTTGAAAGGAATTATAAAAAGCAGAAACAATGCTAGTGTTGATGGCAAGAACTTCAGCTTTTGTTTTTTTTTTCAAAAAAAACCAAGGTAGAGTGTGGGGTCGTTTGATATAATTTACCACATTTACCTTTTCCATTTTCCGTATTTGTTTTCAGATATTTTGAAAACTGAAGTAGAGAATATAAGCGTTGATTGATATTGTTTTTGTTTTAAAATTTTTGAAAATAAGATATAAAAACTTGTTTGTTTTGTTTTGTTTTTTTTTTTTTTTTTAAATATAAAATCGACAAAAAAGTCTTTTCAAAAAATTTTTTTTTTTCAAAAATAGTTTTTATATTGTTTAGAAAGTTAGGCCAAGTTTGAAAATCATGAAATCATCATTGTTTGGGTTTGAATCGAGACCAAGTCCGAAATAATTGAAGTTCGAACCAAGATCGAATCTAAGGCTCTCGAGAATAAAACGGGTCTAATATTAAAGTGAAGATAGAAAACAAATTCGAAATATCCAAAGTTTAGGTGAAGATTGATGTCGTGATGCGAATCAAAACAGATGATAATTAATTTATAGATAGATTTGTAATGTAAGAGATCAATTCTTCTTCTTTTTTCTCCATTTATGGTTCTAGCTAATTAATTTAGTTGTTTTATCACGAAAGATATGCACATTGAATGTTTAGCTGGATGTAGCAATTCTATGAAGACATTGTCATATCTAGTTCTTTTGTCTTTAGTCTCTCCACGTGAACGGACCACAAAGGGCTTTGTTTTTTTCCCCTTCTTTTTGGGTGATCTCGTGAAAGGATAGGGATAAGAGAAATGGTTAGCTCAAGAGTATCAAATTCAAATTAAAAGGAATGTTACAGGGGAACAGAAGACTTTGTTTCTTAGTCAGCATAATACACTTGCTAATTCTATGTAAATAGTCTTAAAACAGCAAAGCAAGAAATCCTTTCCCAACTGGAGGAGCCAAAGCAAAATAGGGGACAAAGGTCATTAAACTACTTACGAGATTTTAACCAATGTTTAAGGAATATATACTTCATAAGGATTGGGGTCCAGATGTGAAATTTTAAGAATCTCTAGTTCTAATTAACCTCCCAAATCACTTGTATTTTACTTTTTAGTCCCTAAACCGGTAAATTGACTATTTATAATTTAATCCTTCCTCACTCCTCAATAGCTCGTTCGTAGGTCAAAATAGAAATATAGTAAAATATCGAGGGACAGATAAATAAAACACCCCTTTTGGATCTACTTGCAAACTTTCCATTAGAGAGGGAGGCGTAAACATAAGACACCAATCGCCGGAGCAAGAGAATTCGAAAGCTGGAAAGAGAGAGAGAGAGAGAGAGAGAATGAGAGTATGATAAAAGCGGTGCTGGTGATTAACACCCAAGGCAAACCTCGCCTTACCAGATTCTATGATTTTTTGGTAACTGTTTTTCTCTTTAACAAACTTTCTTTCTCAAAGATTCACAAAAGCTTTTACAATTTTGTTTTCTTTTCATGATGTCAGACCGGAGAGAAGCAGCGAGACCTTATACGCAGTGTATTTGGAGGTTGAGACTGAGCTGATAACCATTTTTTTTTTTTTGCAGTTCTGTTAATAATTTGTGTCATTTCTGATTCTGGGTTTCGATTTTTATGTAAAAAATAATGAGAATAATTATTTAAAATTGATGAAGGATATATTAGTAATTATCTAAAAAATAATGAGAATAATTATTTAAAATTGATGAAGGATATATTAGTAATTATCTAAAAAATAATGAGAATAACAATTTGATTCCTGAATTTAAAAATAAATTTAATTAAACTCTAAATTATTAATTTTTTTGATAAATATAGTCCTTACCTATTATTTTTAGCGATCAAAATATTTCAATTTTTTATACAAGTTTGACTATTCAGGGGAATTGCCACTTGCTTTGTGCAAAAAAAGTGCCAATAAGAAATTAATTTCAAAATTAGATAGGACACAAAACTGCTTAGACGTTGAAACACAACCAAAATAAAAAAGAATAAACAGTAAAGAAAAAGAGATGTAAAAAACTAATATCTTCTTTTTCTTTTCTTTTGTGTTTTCATTTCTTTCTCATTTGTTTGGTTTGGTGTGACTTTTTTTAATTTATTTATAGCGACCCAGATCAGATTTAAGGCTCCTAAAAATAAATTCTAAAAAATAAGACGGGTCTCGTATTAAAATTAATATTGAAATCAAAATCGAAATGTTCAAAATTCAGGTCAAAATCGATATCGTAATGTGAATCAAAACAGGTGTTAGAGAAAAATCAAAATAAAAATTAGGTAATTATTTCAATATTTGAAAACCACTTTGTTTGATATCAAAATCATGTACCTGTCCTAATTTTGAAAACAAAATTGTTTTTTTTTCCCTAATAACAAGAATGATTATAATTGAATTTTTAATTAGTCATCGGGGCTCTAAAATGAGTATCCTGTTTGCCTCTTCCCACAAAAATCAACAACAAAAACAACAATAATGGCTGAGAGTAATCCACGTCATCGAGGTAGCCGTTAGGAACAAGTGGAAGAGAAATTTCAGGACGTAGTCCCTTAGAGTTTAGATCACGCCAACCGCAGCAATAAATTTAACGATAACTTTTGATTGATTAATATACCCTTGATATAATTCTAACATTATAATAAGTAAATCTAATTTCATCTCTAACTAAGAAAAAGACCAATATTGATAAAACTCTTAAAAAAATACATTTATTAATTCATTAAAATATAGGTTATTTTTAAAAATAAATCCTAAAATATAGGATGATTCCGTTTCTTTATTATTTTCGTATTCTAAATAACATTAAACAAGCTATTTGAATCACTCATAAATTAAATCCTATTATATTATTATCTTATTTTGACTATCAAAATTGTTTAAAACTTAGAAACAAGCCAATGAAAAACATGAAGTATTAAAATAGAAAAATAATTAAATTATATAAGAACTCATCAAATTATTAAATTGGATTCATAGTTAATTTTTTTGTAGGTTGTTTTTTTTTATTGTCTTACATTATTTTTTACTCTTCTGAACAATCTGTGATTGTATAAGAAAGGCATGATTTATTATTAAAAACAATTTATGAATTTTTTAATTTATGAATGTATTTTTAATTATATATATGTCACATATAATTGAAAGAAACTGTTCAAAAATCTAAAATTTAATAATTAAATTTTTTAAGAGTTATATATCTTTATCTTAACCACTAATTATTAATTATTTCAAAAGATAATTAAATTTATGCTCCTAAAGGTGCAGTTAAAAAAATTATATGATTCAAAAATTAAACAAATTAGTTTAATTATAATTATCATAATTTATATAAAATTATTTGAAAATCAAATATGTTTATTTAGTAAGAATTCAAATTTATTAACTTATAAATAATCTTAAAAACACTTTATTAAAAACATTAAAAACTACTATTTTTTTTTAATCCTATAGTGAGATTCTCCTTTATCTTTTCACAGAATTTTAAAAACTTATTAATTATAATACTATCATCATTTTTTAAACAATATTTTTCTAAATTTTTTTTAATCTTACATTACAAAATAAAAATATTTTAGAAAAGTGATATAAATAAAAAGGACAATGTCTGTAAAATAGAGTATAAAATAATTAAATAATACACGTGCAAAAGAAATTAGTGAGAACAAAAGGCCTATTTTAACCCACGATTTGATCCTACATGCTCTTTTCAAAAAAAAAAACACTATAAACTAATGGAACCACCAGAATTTTAGAATGCATTGTAGTTATAATTAAACAAAATGATACATTTTTAACTAAGGGTAAGACAACATGAGAAAAAAAAACTAATGGTAAAACAAAATTGGAGTGAGGGAAAAAGACAATAGCATGAGAAGAGTTCTAAATGAGCATCTAATTCAGTACCATCATGCCGTTGCCTTCTTACGGGCAAATCTTTGCAATGCTGTAGGCAACGAAATTTCCTCACCTATTTTCTGCTTCTTTTTGGCCACATTTTCTTCCTCTTTCATTTGTTGGTCCAAGAAAGGTCTCTTGGCTCTTTCAACTTTCTCCTTTTTCTTTACTGCTATTTTACTGGGCTTATTCTTTCCCTTTGTTTTCTTCTTAATGGCAGTTCCCTTGGCTGCTAGAACAGCGGCTTCCATCTCTGCCTCCATTTCCTTCTTTGTTGGTTTATCTTTCTTCTTGGCCGACTTCAATGTACCAATCTTTGAAGGGTCCAGCATGATTGTTTCGGGTGGGAGCTTGTCAAGAAGAGAGTGAATTTCCTTCTCTCTTCTTTGTTTAGTTGTTTCAAATGGGTTTGCCAACCATGTGTCAAAGTTGGGTTCCCCTGCACCTGGGATTAGAATTGAAGACCATCCCATGGAGTGCCCTATGCCTAGAACATCTTCGTAAGGTCGAAATGCCACTTTCCCTATCTGGTAACCTTTCACAATTGAATGACCCATATATCTGCTATAATTCCGTGATCCAGAGAAATCTCCTAGAACATGAACAAACGATCCAGTTCCAGCAGCTAGTAAACCTTTTTGACTAAAGTCCAAGGTTTTTGCATGGCCAGGTAAAGTTTGGAGAACCTCGAATTTCCTCAAGTCCCAAATCTTAATTTTCTTTTCCTTGCCAGACGTGGCCATGAGATGGCCATTAGGATGAAATGCCATTGCTGTAATAGGCCCAGGATGACACAACATCTTGACAAGGGGAACTGCACTAGTGGGCTTCCACATGCTTACTATACCACGTGAATGGCCCAAGGCAACAACTCCATTGAAAGGATTGGTCTGCATCACATCAGTGCGGCCTAAACCTGTCCGCAAATTGCCTATCATCTCACCCATTGTAACATCTTGGTATCGTAGCTGCCCATTTTTGTTTATTGACACCAAGAGAAAATGGTTTTTCAGAAACTGAAGCCTTGTCACCACGCCATGTTCCTGTAAGCCATCAGAATAATGTAACTTAATCCCATACTTCTAGATTTATATGAATATTTGGCATTGTGGAAAGCAAAAATAATTGAACTTAAAATTTGCATAAAAATTCAAGAAGTGTATAGCCATGCAGTATGGTGAACAATGAAATTCAAAGGAAGCGTACTGCCATGCAGAATGGTGTGACCAATCTTGTGACAGTTCAATGACAGTCAATGCAATAAATTTAGTTCAAGAACTTATTTACACAAAGTAAACCTAATTACTTAGCAACAAGGGAAAAAAAAATGCATTCCAGTTTTTTCAGACATAAGAAATGATACTGCAAAGTTGTATTATATCAGGTTAAATATTTAAGTGGGTCAAGCAAAGTTGCCGCTATAGAAAAGGCTCGGCAGCTTAAAGAGATATAAAATTCATCAATTGACAGTGCACTGACCTTTAAAAAATGGATTTCGACACAAGAAATGATACTGCAAAGTTGTATCATATCAGGTTAAATATTTAACTGGTTCAGGCAAAGTTGCTGCTATAAAAAACGCTTGACAGCTTAAAAAGATAAAAAATTCATCAAGAAACGATACTGCAAAGCTGTATTATATCAGGTTAAATATTTAACTGGGTCAAGCAAAATTGCTGCTACAGAAAAGGCTCAGCAGCTTAAAGAGATATAAAATTCATCAAAAGACAATGCACTGACCTTTAAACAATGAATTTCGACACCGTCTCTGTTATAAATGTATGGGTACCTATCATAACTCAAAATTGTTAGCTGCATAGAGCTACATAAAAAGTATATTAAAATGCTCATAATTGTTCAGGCAATAGTTATAATACATGTCATCTTTTTTTCTGGGGAAAAAAGCCTTACTTTTTCTGGGCAGCAGCAAAGAACAGCTCATTGTGCAAAAACACAACATCCCGCACTGTTTCTCTAACCTGAAAGAATAAAATTAATTAACACATCAGTCTAATTTCCAGTCCTGGTCTAAAAGGCCTAGCAAAGAGAAATACCAGTAAAACATACAAGATAGTGCTAGCATATTAATATCCATTATGGCAATTTATATAATAGGTCTCATCTAGAACCCAATTGCATTTCATTAAGCCTGGCAACACCAGGACACACCTGCAACTCTTTAATTAAGCTCATATTCTTCATGTCAACAACTGCCAAGTGGCCCTTGCGACCAGCAGCTGCCATGTATCGACCACTTGGGGTGAAATCCAGAGTGTATGGACCAAAATCTGCACATTTCAGTGAAAATAAAAGTTAGTCTCAGAAATTTTATTCATGTCATTAGGCAACAGGTTACTTCCAGGAAAGAATATTACATAAACTGAAAGTCCAAGAAAAAGGCTTTTATTTTACTTCATTAAGGTATTTTAGAAACAGAACTTTGTGCTCTTGGAATAACCATAGTTATGGGTTTAATTAGAGTTTGAAAAAAAAAACCTAGCACAACATTGATAAGAAATATGGAATGTTTCCCAAAAATATTTAGAAAAACCACACTGTGATTTCCAGCATTCCTTCTCTATGCTTGAGATATGAAATGATGGATTCAAATGCATACAACATGCATTGCTTAGTTATTCACCAAGGGACCTGGGAAAGTTCTAATAAAATTGCCTTCATAAACATTCTTGGCGAAAACAATTTTTGATTGCATAACAAATCATTAGAGCAGACATGAACCTGGCAAGACTATATCATATTGATTCTTTGCACTTGAGATACCAACTTCACGACTGATTGCATCCTGTTTGATCCTCCATGTCTTCTCTATACCCTCAGCCTCCAGATAGCCTCCCTCACTTGGCATAAGCCACTGATTAAAAAGATCACAGATTATAAAGTATTCAAAATCAAATAACAGAAATAAAAATGCATTGTGTAATATCTGCCAGAGAACAGTGGAAGGAATGAGATACAAAATCTAGTAGACATGGAACTCTAAAAAATTAGTATCTCAGACCACAGATAAAACATTTGATGGAACAAAGATATACCCTATTAACGTGCAACTCACAGAATAAATTTGACCTTTTAATTTTTTATAACTAGAGAAGTGAAGAAAAGGAGAGCTATTATCCACCTTTTCAGCCTTGGCAGCAGCTTTTGCAGATATTCCATATAAATCTTCTCTAACAGAAAGTTGACCCTTAAGCTTTTTGTCTTTTAAAACCTGTAGGTAGGAAGAATCAAAATCAAAATGCAATAAAAAAACCCCTCCAGAAAAGAAAAATTTCTTCAAATGGAAATGTTGGACATCAATTTCTGACCTCCAAATTAGCACCTTCTCCCCTGAGATACTTCTTTACTTTCGTATCCAACTCATGAGATAATTCCTGCAAACAAAAACTAACCACTATTAGTTCCCATGGCCTTAAACAAACATGTAAAGCAAATAATGGCTATAACAATCATCACGTTACAAAAAAAAAAAAGTCAAACAATTGCATTAACGTCAACCATTTCTGCAGATGAAGGATGGTTATTTTCCTGAAAATCAAAGAAACGAATTACCTGTTCAAGAGGAGGCAAAATGTTCTCAGGGTCACCATTTTCTTGTTTCGCACCCATCTGGCCACTTAATTTTATGTTCCTAAGCTGCAGAACCAAGATAGTTACCAATTAAACCAATCATTATTTATAAATAACGTATAATACATAAATAGCCAACAACATATCACCTAGTAGAATTGCATGAATTCAACATCAAACAAGCATACCATGAATACGCAAACCCACGATTTTCAAGTTAATTAATGCCAAAAAAATCCATATCAAAGTCTAGAATTTTCAAACCATGGTACTTGAAAGCAAGAAAATCCACAGAATAAAAACTCAAGAAATAAAACCCAGAAGAGCTAGAGACAAATAATTGGATGTCTGTTTCAAATTTTCTCGAAAAACAACCAAAATGGTACCAAAGGTTAAACAAAGAAAACAATGCTTGCCCAAGAAATAAACTTTCTGCTGAGTCTGCACAAACATTTTATCAAACAGGCGGTGCACAACTTATTTCAAACCATTCCACAAAACTAGACAGGTATTAAACAAGCCCGTACACGGACAAGATAATGAAGAAACTGTTGTTAGGGCTAGTGTCGGTACCTGCGTATTAGAGTGTGCTTGCAGAATCAGCAGACGGCTGGGAGGAGAGATGTTTTTAAGGTTTTTGGTAAAAGAAAGCAAAATATAATCTCTTTACGTTTGCAGTTAATTATTACTTTCTTCCTGGAAAGAAAGTTCAAAATAATTGTAGTGATTGCCTATGCCTAAGTTGAAAGCATGATATGCAGTTATGGAGGTTTTTAGGGTTTTTGCAGTTTCAGTTTGGCTGAGTTGCAAAATCGGTAAAAACGAAAATAAAATAAAATAGAGTTGGGTTTTTCTTTACTGTTTTGGACCTTTGACTGGGCCTGTTATTGTACTTTTTTTGGATTCCCTCTACCTTGTAGTTTTATTAGCCTGCCAGCCAATAACAATGGGAGCCCAATCCTCTTTTCAATGGGTTAAGAGATGAGAGGAGGGAAAATAATTGCGTCCACTCTGTCTTGTTGCTATTGGATCATTCGAGGGTTGAAGATAATTTTATTGATTTTTTTTTAAATCTGGTTTGACTTTTCTTTATTTGTTAAGTAGGACTCCAAATTAAGACCCTTTGACGAGGAGAAGGCATACAACCAATTCAATAAGGCAGTCGATGTAATATTCAACTCTAAAACTTGTTTTGTTGTGATTTTTATTTTTTATTTTTTATTTAAAAAAAAATGAGTGGGACATTTGATAAATTTAGAACATAATAATCAAAATAGAAACAATGAACTACAATTATTTTGAACAATTTATAAAGACTTAGCTAAGTTGTGATTTGAATCATAAGAAGTTTTAGTGCACTTAAAAGGTTTGTTTTTCTTCTTAATTTTTTATATTTAAATAATTTATTAAATTAATTTGAATGTTCAAGTCGATATTTGGAGCGCATCATTAATGTTTTTTTTAAAAAATTAATCTCAATTGATGTATAAATTTATTTCAAAATACTTTTGTTCTTAAATAAAAAAATTAGTTAGTGTTAAATAATTAATTTTATTGTATATTATTATTCAGGATTCAAATAGTAAGAAAGACTGTAAAAAGGAACAATAATTTCCTCCTATCCAAAACATGATGTTTCCTCAAGTTATTATGCGTGGTTCTTTAATTTATAAAAAATTTATGTTTTACCCCACCATATTTTGTTTAAAAAAAAAAAATTAACTTTTTACAATAGATGAATTATTTAAATTTTCAATATAATTGTAAAATAATAAATGTTATTCAATACTTGGATTGAATAAATTACCATACGGCGAATACCAGGAATTCCTACCACTATGGACAAGACGAAGTTTTTGTTAAAAGAAAAATAATTTTATGTGAATGAACATATACATATACAAATATATAGTTTTTCTAAATATAAAAATTGATCTAAAAATATTTTATAATTATTGTTAAAAAAAACAAAGAGTATTTTAAGAACACAATGCAACCAATGACAAATGACCTTCATAGAAAATTGACAAAAAAAAATTACATAAACATCACCGAAATAGAAAAAGGAAAAAAAATTGTTATATTTCATGATTTGCTTCTCTTGGCACTCACCAAAAACAAACTTCTTTGTTGCACTGAAAGCATTTTATTTTAGCTGAGAAAAACAAATGCAATGAGCCACTGAAAAAACCGGCTTTCCCGCGGAATTTTAACAGAATATCCACCACCAAAAAATCCACTAGCACAACCAAGCGTTGACATTTAAGCCCTCTTCATCATCGTCGTCCTTTGGATTTTCCAAATTCCCCTCTCTTACCATTACCGGGGGTGGGGGCAGGCTTTACAAAAAAAAAAAAAAATCATATAAACCATCATTAATACTCTTGTACTTCACGCTTCGATTGTTTGTACCTTACGGAACTCTTAAATATTATCCAAGGGACAGACCTCTCTCTTCCTCTGTCTCTGTTTCTGTTTCTGTTTCTGCTTCTGTTTCTGGAAACAGAAAGACAAAAAAAAAAAAAAAAACCAACAGAACAGTAACTAAAACAAACCCTTTTAAGGTTTTCTTGTGTTTATTAATGGAGTCAGGGCAGGGAACTGTAACATGCGGCTCATGGATCCGGAGACCCGAGAACTTGAATCTTGTTGTGCTTGGCAAGTCATTGAAGAAGAGAGATTCTGCTTCTCCTTCTGTGCTTGAGATCTTCTCTTTTGACCCACAAACAAATTCTCTCTCAAACTCTCCTCAGGTTTGTTTCTCCAATTCTGTCAACGACATGTCGTTTATGTTGCTCCTGATTTGGTAAAGGGAGAACCTTTTTGGTTTTTCAAAATTTTTGGTGCTTTGATGGTTTGTTTTATTGGAAAACAAATTGGGATAGGATTTTGTAAAAAAAAATTTTTTTTTCCTTAATGTTCTTTTTTAAAAACTGTTGGGTTTTGTTCAGGTAACTTATGTGTTTGAAGAAACAGAAGGTGAACCAGTGACAATTGCAGTGCATCCAAGTGGAGATGATTTTGTGTGTTCTACAACTAAAGGTGGATGCAAGTGAGTTACTTGTTTAATAAATTTTCAAACTTTATACTTTATGCACTGCAAATTAATGTATTGAAGAAATTTTTAAAAGCAGTTATGGTTCTGCTGCAAACCAACCCCCCCCCCCCCCCCCACCCAAAGTTTTTTTTTTTTTTTGGACATCCAAAAGATTGTGACTTGAAATTAAGAATGCTTGTTTGAATCCCCTAATTTATTGGGAAGATAATTTCTTTTTAAGTTGATTGAGTTCGAAGAGATTCTAATGTGTGAATTGAATGTGTTTTTTGCTGTTGAACAAGTTTTGTAATATTGGGTTGGTTTGTGTCGTGACTTGCAGATTGTTTGAGTTGTATGGTCAAGAAACGAATTTAAAGGTGTCAGCCAAAGAACTACCTCCTCTCCAAGATGTTGGTCCACAGACTTGCATGGCTTTTAGTGTTGATGGGTCTAAATTTGCCACTGGTGGGGCGGTAAGCAATAATCTGTGATTTGAACTATGATTATCAGTGGCTTGCTCTTGCTTTTGTTCCAAATGTTTGTATGCACAACTGATATGTAGCATGGTGTCTTTTATTTGATCAATTACAGGATGGGCAACTAAGAATTTTGGAGTGGCCAAGTTTGCGCATCATTTTGGATGAACCAAAAGCGCACAAATCTGCCAGGGATATGGATTTTAGGTTAGTAGTGTTTCTTTGCCACTCGTGTCCTGTATAATAACTTTATGTGTTGTGTGAATGTATATCTGGATATATGAGATAAACTATGCATTCAAATGCTTGTCAGTATATCAATAACTTTACTGTCATGAAATGTGCTTTTTAAGAAATAAATAAAGACTAAGCCTGTTTTTCGGAGGTTTTATAGAAGAATCTGGCCATTAAAGGATTATATATATATATTTTTGTCAATCCTAGCTGCTGAATTGTATGCCTTTGTTTGTCCATCATATTCTAGCCTGGATTCAGAATTCCTAGCTTCAACATCTACCGATGGTTCAGCAAGAATATGGAAAGCAGAAGATGGCTCACCTGTGGCTACTTTGACTCGCAACTCAGTATGTTTTCTTTTGTGTAGGGATTTGTGATGGCGTGTTTCAAATTGTGGTTGTACCTTGTTGCCAATATGGTTCTGTATTTGCCTGCAGGATGAAAAGATTGAATTATGCCGATTCTCCAAGGATGGGACAAAACCATTCTTATTTTGTGCTGTGCAGAAAGGTATAGTCATTTGTTGTTAGGAGTTCCAATGTAGCTTATCGTTATATTTAGCCAATCATTCTAAACTTTATGAATGTCGATGATTCAGGTGATAAAGCTGTCACTGCAGTTTATGACATAAGTACATGGAATAAGATTGGATACAAGAGGCTACTTAGAAAGCCTGCTGCCATAATGTCTATCAGCTTGGACGGGAAATATCTTGCTCTGTAAGCACTTGCCACTTACCTGCTGGACTTTTGAAATCAATTATCTTGGCATCTGCAATAACTGAACTCATTTGCTATTATTTGTTTATCATTTAGAGGACACGAATCAATTTCATTTTATCTTTTTTCAATCCTTGAGCCTTAAATCTGTCAGTAGTGACCCAATACCTTCTCTCATCATTTTGAAATGGTTTTACGGTGCAAAGAGCCCATTCTCATTGTAAAATAGAGAATTCAACTTGATATTCAAATATGTTTGGTAGAAAAATGTCGTAGAAGTCCCACCCTCTAGCTGACTGCAATGACTTTGAGAAAGCTATCTAGTAAATTTGCAGCAAACTGGCAGCATAGTTTGCTCACAGAACTGCGAGAACCAGGTATTAACTTGCTGATTTTTCAATTCTAGAGGAAGCAAAGATGGAGATGTCTGTGTAGCAGAAGTGAAGAAAATGGAGGTTTCCCACTTGAGTAGGAGGCTGCACCTGGGTACATGCATTACCTCTCTGGAGTTCTGTCCCAGTCAAAGGTAAGAATGGTTCATCCACTCCTTTTGCTCAGTAATTAGAGATGAGTAATTAAATTGTACAAGGACCCTTTAAATGTTTCTTCTAGTTCACAAACTTGTATTTCACCTTGGCTTGATCCTTTGTTCCTGCAAATACAGTTTTCTTCCTTTCTATCTTTGACGTGCAAGTTCCCCAGTCACCAATTTGTGATTCGAATTTGTATATGTAATTAGTGATTAAGTAAATATTAAATTGCAAATTATCCCAAATTGTTTAAAAATTGTTGATTGATGCTACCTGCAACTAATTTCAACCTTTATCATTCTTTCCTACTGGCACTCGGTGAGTTATTCACCTCTGGGGTCTTCTTTGCAGGGTTGTGCTTACTACTTCCAGTGAATGGGGAGCAGTGGTGACTAAATTGAATGTTCCTGCGGATTGGAAAGGTCTCTCTCTCTCTCTCTCTCTCTACACACACATATATTTACATATGTTGGATGTACGCAGCCTCTAAGCAAAGACTAACAAAGAGACTGATTCTTCCTCTCTATTTCTTGTGCAGAGTGGCAGATTTATTTGGTTCTCGTAGGACTGTTCCTAGTGTCTGCTGTTGCATTTTACATTTTCTTTCAGAATTCTGATTCATTCTGGAATTTTCCACTTGGAAAAGATCATCCTGGAAGACCGAAATTTGAAATTTTAGATCCAAAGTACTCTGAAGATGCATTCGGGCCTCTAGATATGTGAACAATTTTTAGACATGGTCACCAGAAGTCATGAGTTGTATGGATAAAAAATAAGCACTATAGGTCTCGAGGGTGTTTAAAATTCTTCATTTGATCCCCTTTGTAACATTCAACTTTTGAGTATTTTTGATGAAAATGTAGCAGTGTAGGCTGCTTCTCTCTTTTCTCCTGTTTTTGTTTTTTTCTTTTCCCCTTTTTGACTAGAATTATGCGAACTCACAGAAATTGAAGCAGGAAAAGCAAAACCCAATCTTGTTTTGGGTCATTAAAATACGAACGTTTCCTTTAAATAGTCAAATTCACATTTCATTTTCTAAGTGAAAAGGTTTAATTGGTCCGACATCCATGCAACAGACAGGAAAGGTTGGAAGGGAGGCTCTGATTTCTGACAATGAAGAACATCATCTATGAAGAACTTTCAAGCAGATCTTGATAGTATTTCAGGATCCATCCATTGACGATCTCGATTTCTATGTTTCTCTGCAAAACTAACCAATCAGGATCGCTGATTTTGGCAGGCAGTATGTCCACGCAATGAGCACCTGCACAATAAACGCAGTGTTAATGAGCAACTGATCATTATCCGAGAATAACCTGCTGATAGTAACTGTGTCATTTCTGTAGTTTCTTCCAAGTCCCAAATTCTCGCTGAATTTTTTGAATCCTTGGAAATAGGAAACGAGATATAGAAAGGTAAACATGAATTACCTTTAGTTGTATACACCGCCAGTATGCTATCTGATATGTTTTCCAGCACCCTACATGATTACAGATGAAAAAACATTTAACTTAGGTTGCCAAAAATGCCAGAACAAAGGCTTGAAAGATGCACAAGAAATTGTTCTGATAGATCATCAAAGGGTAGATTAATCACCCGCCACTGCTGTAAGGATCGCGGAGGCCATTGGAGAAGATAATGTTGCTACCAAACCTCCTGAGAACCTCTTTAAAATGCTGCAATTTCACATTCAGGAGAGAAGAAAAAAAAAGGAGTAGAGAGGCTCATATCAGTCTCTAAATTGCAACTATGAACATGCTAAAAACGCACTGAAATTTCACCCACAGAAGTTTGAACAACAGACATACATGACCACCATAATAAGTTGTTATCCAATGAGGTCTAGGTGGGACTCCGAAAGCTCTTTTGCATTCCCCCATGTACTCCTTCAGATCAAATGGAGCTGCTGGAAACATAGTATCGTTGCTACCACGGCCAATCGGTATCACAAGTTCGCTACATGTCTATTAAACCCCAGCAAAAGAATTGATTGGTACTGATCATTCAATTTGTTATAATGCTAGATATACTAACTGCAGAAGTAAAATAAGGTTACCTGCCAACTCCAGCCGTCCAGTGTTTCTGCCGAAAAGAATGCGTCTAGATTATAGCAAGGCTTTTCTCCGAAGTAAGCAACAACTCCAGAAAATATCCTGTCAAGTATATCACTTCCTTCTGGTGCTGAATCAATACCTTTGCAAACAAGGTCAACTGGATATCTTGGAGGTCTATCATATTGAGCTGATACTGAAAATAAACTGTCCAAATAGTCTTTCAACTCCGTAGCAGCCTTCAGTGGTCTGTTAGCCAAAGTTAGAGGGAGTTAAGCGACTAATCAATCAGAAACCAACTCATTAAATTGATTTATCAATGAAAATCATGAGAAACGAAGACTTGGACCGTCAATTACTTGCAAGTATTGAACTTCTTTTGAAGGTTAGAAAGACCATCTGCTTTAGCAGCAACTTCATCAATTTCAGACCATGATTGTTTTATGGTTTCGTAGCAACTCTCACTCGATTCCTGCATGCATCCATCAACAGAAAATCGGAAACAACAGTTCAAGACCTTCTCTAGTGTGGAAGTTTAGAAAGAAAGATGGTAATTTAATTCGTTCTTCTTACCCTGAAATCCTTTGTCACAACTGTATAGTATCCATTTGATGGGGTAATATCATCGAAATAAAGAACTGGGGCAGAAGAGGCCAGTGCCCCTAATGCAATGTGAGGGTACTTCAGCCGGAACCAAGCAGCAAGCACTAGAACAAAAATAAAAAGTGATCAAACTATTTATATATAAATTAGGAAAAGTACTGAACTTTGTGTTTCATAATAATTTATTTACTTCCTCCATATGATCCACCGAAAACTATAACCGGTGAAGAGTCTGCTGAATATTTCTTCTTGATGTGCAGGAGCACTTCTGCGTAATCTGCTAAAGTTTGAGCAGAGCTGAAGTATCCTCGGAGGTTTGCATCTTTCAATGCTTCTTCTCTCGATACAAAGGGGATCGATTCTCCATAGAAGCGATGCTGTATCAGAAATTATGAAGCGGTATTACGCGACCGAACTTAAATTTGTCATGCAATTCCTACTATTTTCTCCAGGAAAATTTGAACTCACCTCTATGTACACTTGTAAAGCACCAAATCGAGCTGCATTATCAGAGAGGATTCCAATATAACCAAGATCATCATTCAAAGAAGATTCCTCGCCGAGATAGGCAAATATTGGAGCCATTGTATTGGGACCCTTACAATGCTCGAAGCTCACCACATATCTATGCCGAAAAGTCTTATAACTTTCAGGTCTATAATTGAAGTGATCAAGCGTTTGATTATAATAAAAAGTTTGAAACTCCGACGAGGCCGAAGAATGAGCCTTAACTTTTCCATAGTGATTTCTTGCACCATAAGGTCCATGCACCCCAAGTCTTGGTACTTTCGATGGTGAAGCAGAAACCACACATGTTGTAAAGAAAAGAACAAGCAGCCATGGAAGATGCCCTGGAGCTTGGATTCTTGCACCTCTAATGGCCATATTTTTTGAGGAGTGCTGAATTTTTTTTGGTTTAATTTCGATATAGAAAACAACCCTAGTATAATTAATACTAGAGCTATAGTCAAAGTCAAATTTATTGTGATTATCCCTTTACATTTGTAGTATAGTTAATGTTGTTCTTTGATCCGAATCTTGATTGATTAAGAAAATCCTATCCATGTTAGACAACGTAAATGTTGCCTTAAGCAATTGCTTGATGAAGGCAAAAATACAGCTGGGATTGTTCAAAGTCAGCTCGATAAAGATTTCTTGCTATCTTATAGATCCATTTTTGAAGCTCAAGCTTAGTATTTTTTTTTTTTTAATCAAGTATCCAAATAAAGGGAGATTATCTATACCAATATTATCATCAAAATTTTTCTTTTCAGAATAATTATTTTGTAAGATGGAATGGTGTTTGCATGTTAATTTTCATACGCCAAAACTAAGTTTATCTTTAGAATACATGCATGCATTTTCATCAATATTGTTAAAAAAAGGTTTATATAATAAAATAAGTTTTCAATTTATTTTTGTGTTTTCAAATGAACAAATTATATCTATATATTTTAAGTGAGTTTTTAATTTATTATTCTGATGATAGTTTTTCTTATCTTGATCGAAATTTGGTCAAAGACAAGCACCAAATCTTTTTCTTCTTCTTATTTTCTCTTCTCCTTCTTCTTCTCGTTCATCCTTTTTTCTTTCCTTCTCTTCCCCTTCAAAAGCCTAGTCAAAATTACCTTAAAACAACCAATTTCGTTACTTTTTCAGCACCTCCAAAACCTCTATTTTTTTAATTAAAACTTTCATATTTCACGTAAACTCAAGTTCTAATCCGTCAATTTACACCTATAAAATTTAAATTGACTTTTTTCTATCTTTTTCTCACTTTTTTTTAGGTCAATATCAAATTTTAGTCTATTGATAATCTAGAAATCATCATTTTTTTCATTTTTATTTTTATTTTTCGACCACCTATTATATTAAATATTTTTATCATTAAAATTCAAGACTAACACCATAAATCTATAACTTTTTATCAAAAAAAATATATATATTTTTCGACCACCTATCATATTAAATATTTTTATCATTGAATTACTAACACCATAAATCTATAACTTTTTATCAAAAAAAAAAAGTTAGTTGAGAGTGAGGGTCGTGACATACACGTACCCTTTTAGTTAATAAGCATTTTTTTTTATCATATACAAATGATATGATATTTTTTTTATAGTTTTGCTCGATAAATATCACCAGAAAAATATATTAAAAACTAACTCTAAATAAAAGAATATAATTAACTTATTTTAAAATATAAAAAAAATAGTATGCCTTTAAGAATATAACAGCAGAATAAACACTTCTCCAATGATAAAAGTAAACGCTTGCCATTTCCCTGTATTATTATAATAAGAATTAATTTGCAACAAATTTACGTTACATTTACTCGAGATTTTTTGCATAAATGGGCTACAAGCTAGGCCCAGTTAGCCCCATCTGGACTCCTATCAAAATTATGTACTTATCCCGAGTCGCGGGCCCCACTTATTGAAACACCGTCGCTGTCCCATTTCTCGTTACGAAGAAGCAAATGTAATGGCAGTCTGGAGAATGTATCAAAAGGGGATCCCCTTTTCATCCGAACCCAGCCAAAACCAGCTAATAGTTCATTTAGTCTCTCTATTCTCAATGCTACTCAATTTAATCCCTCTATTATCTTTTACTCTAATATCAACCCCTCCTCTTTATTCTTTACTAAAATATCATCTTCCACTTGTGACCGCCAAAAATTATTAATCACGAAAGTTACCCAATATCGTTTGAGGTTTTTGTTTTTAAATTTTTTGAAATAAAAATAGAATTGAAAATAAAAATAAAAAACAATATCAAACGATTCCATTAAATCATATAATTATAACTACTTTCTGTTGTATATTAACATAATCCTTCCATCAATCAATACCAGATTTTTTATAACCGTTACAAAAGGACAAAATACAAAGTTTGGAAGACGATGTTAAAGCAAAAAACGTATAAGGTCCAAAATAAAATAAATTTAAAACTAACGGGACCAAATACGCCATACCTCAACCAGAATTATAAAAACTAGTATCCACTCAGATTTCAGGAAGTCTCAGTCTCACTGGTCACTGCACACACTCTCTCTCTCTTTCTCAGATATTTTTTCTTCCCTCTTCTTCAAATGAATTGCCTTCACCACCAAATCCCAAGGTCTGACTACTTAACCTTAAACACTTCTTCTTCTTCTTTTTCCTCACTTTCTTGAATCCAATTTCTTACAGCCTTCTTTGAATTGCAGATCATCTTCTGCTTTGCCTTTGCAAGGCTTCAAATATCACCAAAGAAGGCCTTCTTCTCCATCTCTTTTCTCTCTTAACATGGCGGTACATTATCTCTTTCTACGTAATTTATGCTTTTTTTTGTTTTTTTATTCTTGTAATATATGAATTTGTTGGTGCAGGGAACTGTGAATTCTAATGATCTGCTGTTACATGTAGCTGTGAAGGTAACTTAAAAAGTAGCTTCAGATTCGTTTTTTTTTAATCAAGCTAAAGCTTCTAATCTTGTTGCTTTGCTCTAATGTTTACTATTTATTATTATTCGTTCTGTTTTGATTACCGTAACCTTTTCTTTTTGCTTCCTTTCTTGTTATTACGTGATGTTAGAAATTCTGAATAAATAATGCTATACGTATACTTGAAATCACTTGGGGAAGAGTCTCAGCCGTTAGATTTGTGGGACCCGCGATGAGATTTTTCCCGGAGATTCTTTCTGTAGAATGTTGTATTACTAATAAAAATTCACTAGTGATATTAGATATTTTGGGGTTTGAATAGTTTTTTATTTTGTGTTAAGAAATTTTTTTTAAAAAAAAATTAGATTTTCGGGAATATTCATTGGCTTATTTTTTGTTTTATCCTGTAAAGTTTGCATTTCTTATGATATGATTTTTTTTTTTTAACTGTGATGTTGAATAATTTCTAGTGCAAATTAAAGTGATCCTATGAATCAAGGGGTGGGAAATGATTCGTGTCCCATTTTCGCTGAGTGTTTGGTTTGAAAGCTGAAAATTAATATAAAAATGAAATTAGTGGCACATAGAGAGTAGTTTTGATGATAACTGAATAATTCGAGTGATCAAAATAGTTGTTTGTTTGTTTCTGATAATGGATTTGTTCCTGTTAGTTACTCTACTGCTTTAATGTGTTGAATTTCAAACTCCGAATCCTTTCTAATAGAAGGTTGTTATTTGATTTTGTTGCATGTAGGCAGTTCCTGGCTCACCATCTAGTGCTGAGATGAGTGGTGCTGATGCTAAAGAAGAAGAGGAAAAATCTGAGATATATAGTAATAACATGACAGAAGCTATGGGAGCTGGTAAGTTCGTTAATGCTGGTGATTCCATGTTAAGGGCGGGGAATCAGTGGATTTGACCTGTTCAATTTGAGTGGCATGTGTAACTGTTTGAATGTTTGAAGTGTTTATTAGTTACTGTTAATTCTTGATTGAGGAAATTTGAATGTCTATTTCATCTCTAAGTGCAGCTAATTGTTTGTTCTAATATATTTTTAGTACAGTTTTGACCTATAGGCACGAACTAGGAATGAACTATAACTTCATTCGTCCAGATTTGATTGTGGGATCATGCCTACAGGTGATTCTCATTTGTTAGATTCATCTGTGAAGGGATTCTATCCCCTCTTACACACTCTTTTATTTATTTTTGTTTCCAATATGGTTTTCTAATTTATTTTTTCAAATTGCTAGACTCCTGAAGATGTTGACAAGCTTAGAAAAATTGGAGTCAAAACCGTGTTTTGCCTACAACAGGATTCAGACTTGGAGTATCCTAAATAACTCTGTCTTCATGAAGTGATAGAAGCTTGATTTTACTGCTTAAATGTTCTTATTATATGTTCATCAGTTATCATATATGCAACTGTTGAGCATTTAAGATCAAACAAGAAGCATATGAATGTTTTCTTTTACCACCATGCCAGATATTTTGGGGTAGATATCAGTGTCATTCGAGACTATGCCGAGGCCTGTGATGACATTCAGCATTTGCGTGCGCAGATAAGGTTAGTCATAGCAAACCCAAGGTTTCTAACTTACCAATCAAGAACAAATAAACAATTGGAAAAAGAAACCTGTTAGTTAATGTTTGGCTACTTGTTGCTTCCAAACTTGTTTCTATTGCTGAAAAAAACCAAAAAGAACCATGGAGAATGTACGATGTGTTAACGTTTTTATCAATTTTGGACTGCTATATTATCGCTTTCTACTCTCTGGAACTTCCATTGTCGTTAGAAGACGTTATCAACTTTCTCAGATGGTTTCATTTGTTCTAGTGAAAAATAACTCCTCTTGGTCACTTTCTGTACCAATTGAATTTCTGCTCACTTCACAGTTACTGTTGCGAGGGAAGAAAAGATGTTTGTTGAAGATGCATCTGTATCTACTGTCTATGATTATGTATTTTGTTTTTCTTCATTTGATACAGCAGATAATATTCATCTGACAGGGATTTTGATGCATTTGATTTACGGATACGGCTTCCGGCTGTTGTCAGCAAACTATACAAAGCCATAAACCAAAATGGAGGTGTGACATATATACATTGCACTGCAGGACTGGGAAGAGCGCCTGCTGTTGCGGTAGCATTTGATCTTATTCTGCTTAATTTTTCAGTTGATGCCTTATGATTTGCTGCTATGCACCAGTGTTGTTTGGCTCCATTCTTTATCATGTATGAGGGAAATGTCCCTGCATCCAACCAACACCACCCCCAAGAAAGCATTGTTTCTTGGTTTTCCTTACCATGTCCTTTTGGGAGGCCCCACAGAGTTGAATTTCTTCGAATTCCAGTCTTCAGTAATTAGGATAAGTGAAATGAGGCTTTTCTGCGAATATTTCAGATTCTCTTGCTTGCAATCATTTCATGATGATAATTGTTTCATAACTCCTTACCAAATAAACTGAGAGTTTTTAATGAATCGCAGATGGCATACATGTTCTGGGTTCTGGGATACAAGCTCAGTGAAGCTCACGATTTGCTTCTGGTAATCTTGTATTTGATTCCTTTTCCCGATCTTTACCATAAATGAAAGCCATATGTATTGATGATGTTTTCCTAAAAACCATTATGAAAGATCCATGGCTCCATGCATGTCAGGTTTGAAAATAAAAATCAATAAGATGTTGATGAATTGTCAATTTAATTTATTTTCCTGACTTCGAGAAGTTTAGGGGGTAAAGTTCATAGAGCGGTGCATTTAGTGTATAACTATATACCTGGGTGACTTTGCAGTATGAGGTACATGGTTGCCGGATGCAGAGCACCTCTTTTTTTCTTATGTCAAATTGTGAATTAGCCAGCATAAAACAGTGGGGTCAAGTTTGGTAATGGACAGATTATTTAGGATTATAAAATTGACTTCCATTCTACTTTTCTAGTAATGTATAATCAACAAATCAGTTTAATAACCTTCCAACAATAGATTTATATTATACCATAGACTATCACTGGATGATTGACTTTCAAGCAATTTCTACTGCTAGCATAGACAGGCTTGACACTGGATGGAGACCATTATGCATAGTCATACGATGTTGAAATCATGCATTGGCAATTTTAGATTTATTTGATTCATGACAGATATGACTACAGTTTAAAATAGCTGATTAGTGTGTTTTTTTTTTTTTTTTTTTTTTTGGTGATTGAGAATTTAGCTTGACTCCCCTTTAGGGAGTCAAAGCCAGGACCTCTCCCTTAAAGGAGGAGTATTGCTACCAATGGGGCTAGATCCCTATTGGCACCTGATTAGTTTTTTCATAGTATCTCATTGTTTCTTGTCTTGCAGAGCAAACGCTCGTGCTTCCCAAAAATGGATGCTATCAAAAGTGCAACTGCTGATATAGTGAGTCATTTTTCTTTTGTGCAACACTACATGCATAATTGCTCATGGGGCGTTGACTATGGATTTCTTTCTGCATATCGATTTTATCATTTTGACTTGATCTTTTTTTCTTAACGACTCACGTATGTAGATGCTGAATTCAGTGAAGATGAGAATTTTGAGTTTGCACATATATAAGGATGCTTCCTGATGTGCAATACCATTTTCTGGTCTATCAACTTTTCAAACTACCGATAATATAAAATTTGCAGCCTGAATTTACAAGTAGCTCCAGCTTGTAAACATCACTCCCCAAGAGTTCATTTTGGTGGAGTAGATAAATGAGTTTGTTGGCATTTAAATAATGGAAAAAAAATCAATAGAAAAATAAGGGATGGTTGTAGGAGCCTAGGTTCTACATGAATCACTAAAGTAATATCTTTTTTCGTTTGCTAAGTATTGACAAATTAATGCTTACCGTTTTTATTTTTATTTTTCTTATTTGAAGCTTACAGGCCTTAGAAAGAAGCTTGTTACTTTGAAATGGAAAGACAACAATTATTCTACGGTGGAAATTTCTGGGCTTGACATTGGATGGGGCCAGGTATATAATGCAAGAATAGGTTTAAAAGCTCCTGCATGTTAATGATTATTATATACTCTCTTGATCTGCTTTGACGGCCATTTCACCAATACTTTCTGGGAGTTGGAAAAAATTGAATGTCATGGACAAAGCTGACTCTTTTTAGTAGATGAGGATTGTTTTGTTGGTTCTGGCCTGGATTTCCACATCTATGGAGATGTGAATTTTAATGTCTTAGGCTTACCCAAATTAAACAAGTCATGATGATAAGCTAATACACGGGGTCCATTAGTTTTTGCATTATGCTTGAGCCATTCAAACATTTTTACCTGATTCATATGTATTTCTCTTTCTTTCTCCAGAGGATACCTTTAGAATTAGATGAGGAGCAGGGTTTTTGGATTCTCAAGAGAGAATTGCTGGTAATTCTTTTTTCCTTGTTAATGCAGATAAACGCAGTTGCAAACTCCAAATTCTCAATAGGAAATTGGCATCGGTTTTTTTTTTTTTTCCTTGCCTGCATGCCTTTTGGTCTCAAGTTTACTGTCAAAAAATTGTCCTGCATTTTTTTGACATGTGGCAACATGTAATTTCTAGTTTAAGATTTACATAATAATTGGATAGTTGTGCTGAAGAAAAGCATCTTGAACCACAACTGTGCTATGAGCCGGGCTCCACCAACCTCTTGGCCCCAGACCCTGATATTTGTAAATCCAGAGAGTTCATTTCTTCAAAAATTTAAATTTATGCTACCATTAGAGATAAATTGCTATAAGCTTTAAAAAGTCTTGCTTCAACAGGAAGGACGCTATGAGTACAAGTACATTGTTGATGGCGAGTGGACCGTCAGCAAATATGAGCTGCTTACCACTGCCAACAAAGATGGTCATATAAACAATTATGTTCAAGTAAGTTTCAGCTCTCCAGATTGTATTTTACTTTTCTGTGTTATTGTTATCATCTTCTTTTGCTTGGGAGAGAAATGGGGGAAGGGGGCGCAATACCTTGGCGAATAGGAAATGTGGAAGTACAATGGCTATTTTAATTCTTCCTTTTCGAAGGTCTTTCCCACTGCAAACACTATCCCAGGATAATTTGGTTGCTAGAGATTCCTTACCTTGAAACCATTTTCTTTTGATGCTCTTCTCTATTATTGTCCGACCAGGTTCTTGATGACGATACAGACAGTGTTAACGCTGCACTTCGGAAGACGTTGACCAGTGATGATCCTGATCTAACAAGAGAGCAACGACAGAAAATTAGAATGATTCTGGAAACTTTTCCCGAAGATGAGGTGTGAATTGATAAAGCCCTTACAAGTTGTCAGCATATAAAGATATAATGAATACTTCCAATAACAACGAATACTTGTATCCTTAACTGTACAATATTTGTTAAGTTAATAAAATATCAATAAAGCAGCTGCTATACCATCTCCTCTTTCTTCATTTTACAGAGGTGAGAGTGTAAATAAACTAAATGCCAACTAATTTTGCAGCATCTTCAGCTCTTCATTTTCGAGTAATTATTCAATATTTTGGAACATAATTTTTTTTATTGCCTTGCATTAGTCGTGGGCCAACCTTGGATTGTATGCTATGGCCTTTGGGATAATTCATCTCTCTATTTTTTTTATTTTTTTTAATGTGGCTCTTACATGTATATGACGTTTCTCTACTTTAAACAATGTTGATGTGGTTTTTTTTCTAGGGGGATTTTATTCAATTTTTCAGTAACTAATGATAAGTGGCGTTACCAATCAGGTATAACGTGAAATGACACGCCAAAAAAGAAAAAAGAAAAAGAATTGAATTTTTTTTTGTATTTTTGGAAAAAAAATCACATGTTAAATTTGTCTATTGTGGTGGTATACTTGTCATTTGTTATTGAAAAATTAAATAAACTTATATCGATTAAATAAACTTATATCGAAGGGACATTAAAAAAATGTTTGGAGTAGAGAATGTGATAAGCAAAATATGCTATTAATTTGGTAATTGAATAATAAATGATAGTGTTAGAATCCTTAGTGTGTGATTAAAAAGGATTGTTTCATTGAGTGCAAACTTTAAGGTTAGCATTTGAAGAAATTTATTAAAAATTTTTAAATATACCCCCATATAAGAGGTGAGTTCTTAAAATTACTTAAAAATGATTTGATTTCAATTGGTGCAAATTGACCTGAGGTTAAAGAGTAAATTATAAATTAGTTTTATTGTTCTTTGTTTTAAAAACTAATTATTCAATATTTTGATAAATGTTGATCATATGTAATTTAATATCATTTTATTTCAAAAAAAAATTCATCAATCAGTTCATTTCATATCTTTTTCTTTTTCTATTTCTTAAAAAAATCAAAATAAGTTAACCAAGACGGAAAAGGATTTGAGTTTCAAAATAAATTAAAATATAGGGATTCAATAATTATTTTTTGAGAAAGTGAGACCTAATTAATTTGTTTTTTGAAACTAAGGGATTGATTTGTAATTTACTCTATGATTAAAGGATTTTGGTTTCAGAAAGCTGGGGTCCAAAATTCCTTGGTCACATTTGTGAGTCGGTCCGTAGAAGAGATTCAAGTAAGGTCCATTTGGCCCACGCTCCCTTTAGTTTGATTCAAAGCGAGTTTACCGATTGGTGTTTTTGTACTCTTTTCTTAAAAAAAGGGAGCGAGGTGTTGGACTTTTTTCACTTTTTAGCACTGAAGTTATTCTTAAATTTGTTGAACTTTAAAAAAAAGAGAAAAAAATTTACCGTCAAACGGTAGTAATTTTTGAACATTTTTCACATACTCGTTTAAATTTATTTCTTTAGTTTGGTCAAAAACAAATCATCCATATAGATATTAAAGATTTATGAGTTTATAATTCAAGTGAAAAGAAAAATATATACCCTTTAACCATCAAGTTGAATGTTTTCAACCGAGACTCTGTAGACTTTTTTTATATTTTTTTCTATCAAATCACGAGCCAAAGGAACTTTCTGTGAAAAGAACTTGAATTTATTATACATCAACATCACTAAATTATTATAAATTTGATTGTATTAATTGTAATTAAACCAAACTTCCTATCTGTAATTTGATTATTGGTTAACATTTATTATATTATACATTTTGAAAGCAACTTTCTCCCACATGATGAGGTTGCTTTGTCAAGTGAAACGAAGCATTTAAGGTGACCTTGTATATCACATGATGGGTCATGGCATTATGCTCATTAATGCTATCTAACGTTAACTCTCAACTTGCTGATGATCCTTATCCTGAAAGATCAATATGAAACATCACAAGGGTATTATTAAATTTACCGACAAAATTATTATTTTTATCACTTTTTTCTATATAATTATCAATATATTTTTTACTAATTATTAATAACTATTATATAACAGATATTAGTCGAGCATGTATTATGTATCAGTAGTTGTATAAAAAAAATTATAGGAATAATAATTTTTTGATGAATTTAGCAGAATCCATTTTATAATCATCAATGTTTGAAGTGTATAAACTCCCTTTTCTTTTATTGTGATATCATTAAAAAAACAAAAACCTAGATTTTCTCCAACCAAAATTGTGAAATTTAATAAGGACTAAATCTATAAAAGCAAAAAAGAAAAAGAAAAAAATTTGTAATCGGCAATTAAAAAAATTTAAAAGCCAATAATAAAGTATTTTAAACTCGCGAATGATGGGAGGAGCAGTGAATGCTAATTTATGGTTTGGCTAATTAACTAACCGATTCCCCATTCTCAAGGAAAAATGAAAAGAAAAAAGAAAAAAAGAAGCTATAGCTAGCGTCCAAAGTCACTTTAGAGGAGCAGTGAATGCTAATATATACGCCACGATCATTGTTATATACATAAATTCAACGATTCGTATAATGTAATGCTTGGTAAAAATCTTATTTTTCATAATTAATATAAATTAAATTTATTTACCGAGCAGAATTATTTAATTTATATATATTTATTAACAAAATAATCAATAATATTAGTATAAAACATTATATTTTAATAATGAAAAGGTTCTTTTAAAACATTATTTTAATTATTTTATTTAAAAAATATTAATTTTAGAACATAAAAAAATAAATAATAAATAATCGGCATTATGTGTACGGATATATAATTAATTTATAACAAAACTAATTATATATATTTCAATTATTTTATTTAAAAATATTGATTTGAGAGCATAAAAAATAATAAATAACAAATAATTAGTGTTAAGTATGTATATACATAATTAATTTCAAACAAAACTAATGATATATGTATATATAATCATACTTAATAGATTCAGAGTATATAACATAAACAAAAAAAATTTAAAATAAAAAAACCATCTAATTTGTATAGAATATATTAAAGTCAATAAATTGAAATAAAAAACTACTACAAAATTGGTTCCCATCAATTTTACTTCTTAATTTATGATGAAAGAGCTTCATGAATTGCAAATTAAATTATAAATTAGTTCATCTCATTTTGAAAAATGAATTAATTAATTCTTTTGGTTTCAAAAAATTAAATTATTAATTTTTTAATCGAGTGTTGACCACGAGATAATTCATTTTTTATTTTTAAAAATATCTTTTTTCATATTTTTATTTATTTTACTTAATAGATTCATAGTATATATCATAAAAAAAAATTTAAATAAAAAAAACATATAAGTTGTATGGAATATATTAAATTCAATAAATTGAAATAAAAAAATACTACAAAATTGGTTCCCATGAATTTTAGTTCTTAATTTATGATGAAAGAGATTCGTGAATTGCAAATTAAATTATAAATTAGTTCATCTCATTTTGAAAAATTAATTAATTAATTCTTTTGGTTTCAGAAATAAATTATTTAATTTTTTTAATTAGTGTTAACCACAAATAATTTATTTTTTATTTTAAAAATATATTTTTACCTATTTTTTTATTCCTTCTCTATTTCATAAAACAAAAAATAAAACCATTGAAATAGAAAAAATGACAAAAAATAGTTTTTTAACCAAATGGAATAAAGGTGTTAAGTATGCAGATACATAATTAATTTTCAACAAAACTAATGATTATAATATATGTGTGTGTGTGTGTGATCATATTTGGTAGATTCGGAGTATATAGCATAAATAATTTTTTTTTTAAAAAAAAAACAAATCATCTAAGTCATATGGAATATATTATAGTCAATAAATTAAAATAAAAACTACTACAAAATTGATTTCCGTAAATTTTACTTCTTAATTTACGATGAAAGAGATTCTTGAATTGCAAATTAAATTATAAATTAATTCTTCTCGTTTTGAAAAAAGAATGAATTAATTCTTTTGGTTTCAAAAAAAATTATTTAATTTTTTTAATTAGTGTTGACCACAAATGATTTATTTTTTTACTTTAAAAATGTCTCTTTTTTTTCATATTTTTACTTTTTTTTATTCTTTCTCTATTTCTTAAAACAAAAATAAAAACAATGAAATAGAAAAAAGGAGAAAAAAATAGGTTTTTGAATCGAAGGGACTAATAATCTTATGTATGCAGATACATAATTAATTTTCAGCAAAACTAATGGTACACACACACACGCACTCATCCATCGAGTGGCAAAAGAAAAACTAACGAAAAAGGAGGGGCGAAAAATCAAGTAACACAATGCATAGTGAATCTAAGTCTAAAAAAATAGTAAATGAATAGTAAATAACTCGGTTCTTTTGGTTTTTTCTACTAATGCATATTAAATTAAAAATAAAAGATAAAATTTTTATTTGATTTCATAATTTTTGATCAAATTTTGTATTTCATTCATGCTTTTTTGTGTTTTTCATAGATTTTGTTGTTAAAAAAACATGATTCATTTTTTTTTTATTCGTTCGTAAATAAAAACCTACAATAATATAAATATAAAATTTAATATAATTTTTTTTAAAATATCTTAATATTTTTTTTATAAGACTACATTGAAAAAATATATCAACAATTAATAAAAAAATTTGTATAAAAATTAACTAATGAATCTTTTTAAACTTTTTTAAAACTATGTAATTTAAAATACACACACAAAACAATCAATAATATTAGTTATAAAAACATATATTTGAATTATTAGGTGATTTTCTAAAAATATTATTTTATTTAAAATAAATTAAGTTTAGAATATTAAAAATAATTAATAAGAAATAGTTGTTGTTATATGTGTAGATGCATAATTAATTTTTATTAAAATCAATTATCTCAATACTTTTTTTGTATACATCGTTACCATATTCTATACAAATTAAAAAAATATGTTTAAAAAACTTAA